AGGGAGGGGGAGGTGCTGGTAGGTTATACTTCTTTACCTTTCCTACTTTCCTCCATTCGGTTTGTATTACTTTTCCCTTTACTTAAATACCCGCAACTGTGTCAACGTGCTTCCCTTTACTACCTCACCTACCCACGTCAGGTAACATCGCTGAACCACACATTTTTATGTATTTCTGCCAAAACCTGGATGATGTGCTGTCCCTGGGCTATGACTGTATCAATGCGCATCTCTTTACTCACACACCTATCAGGTAGCATCGCTTTTCCTTGGCTGTTATTAAATTGTGTCAATGTGCTTGTCTTACTCACATACATACACACCCATCATGTAACATCACTCTCCCTGGGCTGTAATTTTTTCAATGAGCTTCTCTAACGTTTGAGCAGTAGAACAAAGAGTGAATATCTTCACCCCAATTTCGGAATTATTGTGAAGGAATCGGTAGCGAGTTCCCCTAACCTCACCAGGTGACGTCGCTGAACCACAAATACTTCCGCCAACACCTGGAGGACGCACTGTCCCTGGGCCGGCCGCTGCTGATCGAGGACGTGGAGGAAGACCTAGACCCGGCCCTGGACAACGTCCTCGAGAAAAACTTCATCAAGTCTGGCACCATGCTCAAGGTACAGGATTCCTAATGAAACCTTGGTAACATTTCATTAGCTTTGGCATTTTTCACAAAGGTAGGGACGCTTAAATAGGTACAAGATCCTTTTTTATTTATTTATTTATTTTAAAAATATAACCTCGGTAACGTTTAATAAGCTTGGGTTTTTTTCCACAAAAGTAGGGGGATGATTAAGTGGCCGTTCTATGATCTCCTTTCTGTTTCAACGACAAGACTGCAATATAAAGCCAAAGTGTGCACCAAATAGACACCCAGAAGATTGCTGTATCTTCTACTATCAGACCATATGAATGGGGGCTCTCGTGGCCTAGAGGTTATGGTGTTGGCCTCTCATTCAAAGGTCCCGAGTTCGAATCCGGGTAGCGAGCGAAAAATTTTCTTCTATAAAATTGTCTCCTTTCACCTCCTTTTCTGCTCTCTAGCAATGTTCTGTCGTCTGCTTTCATTTCCACTTTCTGCCCCCACCCCCTCACCTCCTTTGCCCCCTCCTCTGGGCTCCTGAGTCTTTCTGCAGCCTTTCTACTGCTACTCCTTGGCTCCTCGTTACCGCTGTCTTTCTGCCACACCCCTGATCTCCTGGTAGGAAAGATCCTGATCTCCTGGTAGGAAAGATCTACACCTAGCCTTCTCGGACAAGGGCGAAAAATATAGGAGGGCCCGTGTGCAAGTTGCGCACGTTAAAGATCCCTTGGTGGTCTAAAATCGATAAGAGTAGGCATCGGCCGCCACCCGGGCAAAATTCAAAATTTCCTAGCAACTGAAGATATTATGTGTGTCCGCGCGCTCATATGACCTTATGCAGTTGCGAGCGCCGTAAAACACTTTACAAATTACAATTACAGACCATATGAATAATTGTTATAAGCCGTTCAATTCCCTTGAATTTTCACACACGGACGACCTTTCACATTTTTAACACTAAGTAGATCTGAATGGTACTGATGTAAAACTTTCCGTCACAACTACTTCACGGAGAGCCCAACTTCGTTTGATAAAAAAACCTGAGGGCAATTCTATCCCATTCATATTTAGTATCTCATTTTAAAAATCTCTTTTTGCTTCTCAGCTCAAAAGGCGTAGGACATTGGCGGGTGCTCTGGAGTTGTTTGCTCCTTCTTGCCTCCCAAGCATCTATTGTCCTTATTTCTTCTTCTTTTCTTTGTATATTACCCTCTTGTAACATCTCCATAAACTCTCCTCAGGTCAAGGTCGGGGACAAGGAATGTGACGTCATGAACACTTTCTACCTGTACATCACCACAAAGTTGGCCAACCCTGCGTACACACCAGAGGTGGGTTGGTCTTATTTCATCATCCGTCACAACTCACTGTTACTGTCTCTCCAAACAATGAGTATCACTCTAACAAAGGTCGCGTGTGCTTAGTAAGCCTTGATGGTACCACTTTTCTAAAAAGTAACACACATATTGCATCAATGATATACCCTCATACGCTCTCATCTTTAAGGTAAAACTGTTCCCTTCAACTCATATGCAAAGCCAAAGTAGTCCGTCAGAAGGAGGTCCGAGGAATAAAAAAAAAAAATTAAAGTTGTGCCCGTCTACGTCCTTGTTTTGTTAAAGAAGTAATATTGTCTATGCTTTTCATTGTGTTCTTTTGCCTCAAAGTAAGTGGTGTAAAAACAAAAAACTAGCTGGAGCAAGCTGAGTAGACTGACCACAAGATCTCTGTCTGTCAGGTGAGCGCCCGGACGTCCATCATCGACTTCACGGTAACAATGAAGGGCCTAGAGGACCAGCTGTTGGGCCGTGTCATCGTCACCGAGAAAAACGTAAGTGCTGAACCGACCAGGGGGACTTGAACAAAACACATTCATTCGTTTTTGTTATTTTTTTACATTTGAATTCAAAATAATTCTTTTTTACAATGTAGGTGTTTTACGCCCCCATCGACACAATTCTATCAATAAGGAGGAAATGCAGGGCCAACCTGGGCTGAGAGGGATATAAGGTCCGAGCAGAAAGAACGAGATACTCGATAATAATTTTCCCCACTCGGGAGTCGGACTCGGGTCTCCTGCGTGCGACAGCGAAACGCTTAACAACTACACTACAGACGTCGGTAGTAGTTTTCTCATGGCTTCATGGAATTATTTCAAAATCAAACACTTGAAGTATTGTCTAAAGGAAGAGCCCTGATTGATTTTTCATGTATGCTGTTTAAGTATATTGACTTCTTTGGAAGTCAGTTTTCCAAATTGACTTAGGCTTTTTCTTTTTCATATTTTTTTTATTTTTTTTTTTGGGGGGGGGGGGGGGTCTAAATGGTCGTACTGACATTCTTTAAGCTTGCATGTCGACTTCATAAAGAAATTATTAGTTGTATTTTTTATGACGATGAAATCTGGCCTCCTTATTCATAGATTACCACAAAAGCAGCAACAAAGACAAAAAACGACAACAGCAAAGACCACAACGGGAACAACATAGACCACACCACCACCACCAACAACAATATTTAAAGACCATACCCCTCCTCCCGGGCCGTGCTACTGACTGAAGTGTCTTTAGGCCATTCCCAAAGGGGGGTATTATCATTTTCTTATGCACAGTAGAATTGTAAATGATCTGATGAACTGCTGCTTTTTCTTTCCTCATCCTTGCTATCGTCATTTTTCCTCTACTTCTTTTGTATGTTTATCACTCTTTTGTGAACTGCTATTTCCGGGGTGCCTAGATAGTTGAAGCAGACTTTGTGCTGTTGAGGCAAGAGAAGTGAGGAGAGTAAGTCTATTTCCCCTTTTGGACTTCTCTGTTGACATCCGACCCTTAGTGCTAATATCACCTTATGCAGGTTAGAGCGCCGTAAAACTTTAAACAGAAACAAAAATCAAACAAACAAACAAATAAAAAAACAAACAAACAAAAATACAAAGACTATGAAGGCAACAAGAAAGACCACACCAACAGCTCCGCTATCACCTGCACCAATACCGCACACCTATGTTGTTGACGTTGGCTTCTGTGTGTCTGTGTGTGGTTGCAGGAGCTGGAGGAAGAGCGCAGCAAGCTGGTGGTGGACGTGACCAACAACAAACGTCGCATGAAGGAACTGGAGGAAAACCTGCTGTACAAACTCACCAGTATAGAGGTTAGGGGTCAGAGTGTAGAGCAGTTGAATAATGTTGATGATAATAATAGTCGTTGTTTTCGTTGTCGTCTTCATCTTCATTATCATCTTCATCATGATCAGAAGAAGAAAAAAAAGAAGAAGAAGAAGAAGAAGAAGAAGAAAAGTATTACTTGTCCTTGTGTAGAGGTTAGGTGAGGAGTCATGAAGGAAGTGGAGGAAAACTCGTTGGACAAACTCACCAGAATAGAGGTGAGAGGTCAAAGTATAGAGGTAAGAGGTCATAGTTTAGAGGTGAGAGATCACAGTGTAGAAGTAAGGGGTCACAGTTGCACTCTCTCCCTCCCTCTCCCCCTCTCTCTCTCTCTCTCTCTCTCTCTCTCTCTCTCTCTCTCTCTCTCTCTCTCTCTTTCGTTATCTTTCTCGCTCCCAGTTTTTCTCTACCCTACCCGACTCCTCATTATCATCATAAAGTGCTTTATCTGAAACGGACATCATCGATCATGGCTCTCCATTCATTCATTTCTCCGCTTGGATACTGACAAATCCCAAAATTACTCTGGTGTTTCCCGTTCCCCATCTGTTTAGCTCTTCTTGATGACCTTCTTTGAGTCTACCCATGATCGCCTCACCCAAGGAAAACTTTCTCTTCTTTGCCTTAAAAAGGCCGGTCCCTGTCTAGATGGGAACTTATTATACAGAAAAATTAAACTCAAGATCAAAAACACTGATACAAATGAATGCTCATCGCCCCCCCCTCCCCCACCCAGGGCTCTTTGGTAGACGACCCGTCACTGATCGAAGTTCTGAACACCACCAAGAAGACAGCAGCGGAGGTGAGCGAGAAACTGAACGTGGCGGCCGAGACAGAGCTGGAGATAAATACAGCCAGGGAGGAGTTCAGACCAGGTCAGGGATACGCCCACACCGCACCCAGAACGACGACAATTTTTTTTAAGTGCTCAAATTCCATCTTTGTAGATCCCTGTTTTGAGGAGGAAGGTCCCGCAAAAGATGGATTGATGGAGTCAAGGAAACCTTATAAAATTATAATATCCCAAATGAAAGAGCTCCAGAGCTGACCTACCACAGAGAACTTCGTCTTCTCTCGACGCTTAATGGCAACAGAGGGTGAACAGTAAAAAAAAAAGTACAAGTAAAATAGATACCTGTGGGGAGATTTGTCATACGATAGCGTTCATGCTTTGGTATTAGTAGACAAAAAATATATGTGTACTTACAGTAAGACATCAGTGTTACTTAATCCTCACTCGGCCTTTATGGCGAGTTGTAGAGTGAATTTGATATTATTTAAAAATTTTATTGTTACTTAAAAGAGTTGTTTTAAATCACAAATGCATTTACACTGAATTTAAATATTTTAACTTTTTAGCATTTTAAAGTCAATTAGCTAACCAGTCGTGAAGTGAACTTTTGCAAAGGTGAACAACTTGTGTTTCGCGCGCTTATATGACCTTAGCAGTTGCGCCGTAAAACCTTATACTATACATACATACATACATTATCCTCACTTTCACACTAATGCAGGTAGTACTGTTGTGATGCTATTCCCGGTCCCCACTGTGCAGCACCCTGTTTTTGTGCTTGGCTTATCGCTCCCTGCTCACGGACACACCCAAACGACCACCCACTAAAAGTTACTAAAACGGTGTGTCACCAACACTTGCTTGACATTCATTGTTAGTCTGAGCTCCCAAACCACTCGCGGCCACTGGAGCCCCCAAACAAAAGGCCGACGGTTTTGCTGGTGATTTGGGGACAATGGCAATAAGAGAAACGCCAAAGAACAAGTGTGTCCTGTTGGTGTGGTAGTTTGTCTTATTTCCTTTGTCCACGGCTTACACAGGCAATATAATTGGCCAACAGTTTTGTCTGAGTGGGGTACGTGACTTAGAAAACTAACTAGAGATTTTTATAGGCTCCTACCTCTATTTCTAATTTCCCTTCTTTCTCCAAATTATCATCCCTACCCCTCTCCCCATCCCCCCTCTCCCCAAGTCATCACCTCTTCCCTTCCTCCTCCCATCCCTCTCCTCTCTCCAAATTATCTCCTCCATAATCCCCACCTTTCCCAGTCCCTCTCCTCTCCCCAAATTATCACGCCCTCTCCCTCTTTATGCACACTTTAAACCAAACACTTCCGCCCTCTGCGTAGTAGCAGACTAACAAAACGACTCAATCAAGTCGACTCCATAACTCACTAGCCAACTAACCATACTAGACCAGTACCCAGCTAACTACTAACTTACTTCGCAGTTAATCGACTAACCCACCATACTACCGGCCCACTACCCTACTAGCCTACAATCCCACCAGTCCACTACCCTACTGTCCCATGAACCTACAAATCTACTAAACCACTAACCCCCGCTCCTTTCCACCCACACTCCTCCCCTCCCTCCAAAAACCCCCAACAACCCCCCTCCCTCCAGTGGCAACACGAGGCAGCATCCTGTATTTCCTGCTGTGTGACTTGGTCATGGTGAACCAGATGTACTCCATCTCCCTCAACCAGTTCCTCGTGCTCTTCGACAACTCCATGAGCAGGTCATCTCTCTTTATTTTTTTGTTTTGTTCAGTGGCCACTCTTTAACTTGGTCCACAGCAAATCCCCGCCTAAACAAATGGCGGTTATTATGTTGGGGCGTGTGGTCTTTGTTCAAACAAGCAAACCATGTGGGTGTTTGGTGGGTGCTCTGCTTATCAAACATCTAATGTCCATATCTCTCGTACGTTTCTTTTATGTTACTTCCCAGTAACACCTCTAATCCTTGGCATTTATATGACCTAACTGTGTTGCAAGTGCAGGAAAACTCTTAATAAAACAAAATTAAACAAACCATGGACACAGTTTTGTTAATGGAAGAGGCTCCCAGTCTCATCAAGTTCAAGGACACCCTACCAAGATCAACCAGGTCTGGGCGGGATACAGCGTCCCATCAGTCAGATGGAAGTACTCGATTAGGCGACTTCTCCACCGTGGAATCGAACTCACGTCTTCTGTGTGAAAAGGGGAGAAGCGTCTTTAGCAATAGCAATGAGGTTTCTAATCATTTCCCTTTAAAGCGTCCTGTATATAGAAGAAAGACTAAGTGTGTACATACTATGAAAACAGAGACCACTATGTCGACTTGTATATAGAAGAATTACTAACATTCACCCACGTGCTATTACCACAAAGCCTCTGTCTTGTCCTGTGTTCAGTGATGTATGAAGGGCATCCTTTCTAGGCCTAGCCTCGTCTTTGCCCCCCCGTGGTCGGGAATAAATATGCCAAATTTTCTATTTTTTGACGTTGGTGGTGTAAACAATAATTGAGGCACAAACCCCCTTTCCCCAAACCAGGGCAGTGCTACTGACTGAAGTTGTCTTCAGGCCATTCCAAAAGGGGGGACATTAACATGTTATTATGCACAGTAGAATCGCAAATGGGCTGATTAATCAATGTCATGCTCATACTGTGCTGGAACAACATAGAGGGAACTGCTGCTTTTTCGTTCCCCATCCTTACTATCGTCACTTTTCCTCTACTTTTTTGTATGTTTGTGACTCCTTGTGAACTGCTATTTCCGGTGTGCTTTTATATTCGAAGCAGACTTTGTGCCTAAACTAAAAACCTCTTCTTTGACTCTTTAAGGGCGTAGCAAGCACACACACGCATGTCTGATCAGCAGCAGACCAAAAGCAATGTTGTGGCGCATGTTGAACCATGTTACACAATTTAATCAGAAACAATTTGAATATGTCATAGTATCTAATTAGTTTGAATGTTTCTGCCTTCCCTTTTAAGTTTCAAACAAAGGGAACCGAATTGAAAAATCTATACGTGTGTGGCTAGCGGGTGCTCTGGTGTGGTTTACTTCTTCTTTCATATCAAACATCTATCGTCTTTATCTCCCCTCCTACTTCTTTTTGTTTGTTACTCTCTTGTAACACCTCTAATCTTCGGCCCTTGTATGACCTTACTGTTTTTTAAGTGCTGTAAAACATTTACTACAACAAACAAAAATCTATTAAAAAATGCTGCTTTTAGACAATCCCCCTCCCCCCTCCCCCCAAAACAGCGCGACCTCAAACGTCGTGTGTCCTGAGTGAGCTAATATACC